GTTTTTTTTTTTTTGAGCGGCGTAGTTGGGATTTTATTGGGGAATTTTTTATTGCGTTTGTGTCTTCCTCCTCTACAGTACCGGATCTCCATGGTAGATTCGGACTTCGAGCTAATCTAAAGCTTTTTCTTTAATAATGGGCATTATATCTATATATTAATATTGGAATAGTAATGTAGTAAACGTCAGTTCTTTTCACCGCCTTACTTTGCTCCCGTTTAAGTTAATTCATTGCTTTAATAATGAATTTTTTCACGCTTAATAGTCACTGTTGGTGTCAGTTCTTTTCACCCATTGGAAGGAACCATAGGAAAATGGATTCTTTTTTATTATATATATATATACCCATATACGTATATGTACAGATACATATGTCTATATCTAGTTTCTAGGTTCTTGTCATGTGGGGTATGGTGGTGGGGTGCGGTGATTCTGAACTTCTGAGGAAGAGTATTTGTTGTTGTTATCTTATTTTTCAACTCTCTATACGGAGCTTTGTGAGAAGATAAAGTTGGAGAGAGAGATGAGTCTAGTCATCTTCAAGGACCATTGTCTTTTGGCTCATCAGAAAAGGAGTACACTATCTTATTTCATCACTATATTTCTCCTTCCTTTGATGGAAAAGTGCTTTGTCTGGTCAGCATAGCCGCACTATTTACGCACAACATAAGCGCTTATCCCTCTCTTCACCCAAAAAAAGCACTTATCCTCCCCTCTATCTCTCTCTCTCTACTTTTGATGTTAATTTTGGAAAAAGCTGTGGGCTATGATTGGGAGCTTTTCCTGCTGTGGGTTTTCTTAAGCAAAGAGAAAGAAGAAATATAGGAACAATGGGAAATAATATTTTTTGAAATTGTAAAAAAAAAAACCCATTTTTTCCTTCTTTTAATGAGCCTTGTCTTCTTTTGTTTTTGTAATTTTTCTCATGTTATTTATTGAAAGCTTCATCATTGTTGATGAGGGTTGATTTTGATTGATTATTCTTTTTTTTACGTCACCTGTTTGCTTGTGACTATTGAATTCCGGTTTTGTCCTTTATTTCTTTAACAGTGTAATATTGATACCTTTCCTTGTTGGATAAATTAAAAAAAATTACAAATTTACAACATGAGTGTTGAGGTCTACTGTTGTGGTGAATAGAGAGTTTTACAGTGGATAGGTTAGCTTCAGTTCTTCTTTTCATGCACCACTCAATAATGGAGCTGCAATGGAGACAGGGAGGGTCAGGGATAGGCACTATAGTGACCTTTGAACTTTGAAGTTTTCACATTTATCAAAACTGAGACTCCAATAGCATAAAAGGTCATTTTCATTTTCTTGTATTTTGATAATTAGGATAAGAATCTGAACCCTGTAGAACCAACCCATCTTCTGGAAAGATTTGACTTCTGGATTTGGAAGTTTAGCAAAACCCATGTGCTATGTTTAGAATCTTTAACATGTTACGGCTGCAAGTTGTTTTATAAAGATTCAGTACAGTTGTGGATTTTAATTTACGATATTAAATTCTTTAAAAAAAAATTTATGATATTAAATCTCAACATCATAAACTTTATTTAGTAAAACCTATTCTTTAACATGAAATACTTGTTACAAAGAGTAAATACACAGAGAACAGGTTTACCAGAGCATCCTCTGACAATTACCTTGGTGTTGAAGGCTTCTTCTTAACTGGATTTTATCTAAATTTGAATAGGGCAATATTTCAGTGTGAATGAATAATGGCATGCTCTAATGTGCATTAAATACAAATGAACCGATCTGTGCCAATTTGTGGTGTCATTTACATGAATGCTTTCGTGCCATTCTTCTTCATTCAGGTCCTGATGTACTCATCATTAAAAATTTAGTATTGGACTGGAAAGGTTTTGCTTTTGGTTTTTGCTGGCCCCCTGTCCTAATAAGCAACCAAGGCTAGGATATCATTATTTTCTGCAGTTCTTTAAGCACTATACAGATACTTTTGAAATTTAGGACTGTTCTCTTGGAGGAAAATTGGCTGTTGCAGCATTTAAAATTCATTGCCACAGTTCTGCTAATCTCATTTTAATTGAAGTTTCCTCGGAATGCTCTGTTTCTACAAATTTGACATGTTAAATCCCAACTGAATTTGTGAATTTTGTGTTCCTCCTTTCTTTTTTGTTTTTACATCTGAATAACCTTCCTGTTGGTTGGTGGTATATCATCTATTATAATTGCCCGTGGAGTATTTTTGTCGATCGGATTCTGTCGGTATTTTCTTGCATATTTTTTCCCTTTAACTTGTTAGTTTCTATATGTTTGTGGTTAACTCTTGAGCTGGATGTGATTTTCAATTTCATAGTTGTAGAATATTTAGTTCTCAGTCTTGTTCTTAATCAATTGCAGAGGACTTGTGCAATATGCCTGACAACCATGAAAACAGGCCAAGGCCACGCCATTTTCACTGCAGAATGCTCTCACTCTTTCCACTTCCACTGCATTACTTCAAGCGTAAAGCATGGGAATCAGGTGTGTCCAGTATGCAGAGCAAAATGGAAAGAGATCCCCTTCCAGAACCCCACTCCTGATCTTCCTAATGGGAGATCAAGAGTCAATCCAGTGGGTTGGCCCCAAGATGATGCCTGGATGACTGTCTTACGACGGCTCCCAACCCCTCAAATTGATGCTAGTAGGCAGGTTTCCTCATTATTCCATGCCCAAGAGCCTGCTGTTTTTGATGATGATGAGGTTTTAGAGCTCCCAGATGTTGTTGCTGATAGAAGCTCATCTCCTAAGGATGCTGCTGATTATGGTTCTGTTGGTCCTATGGAAGTCAAAACCTATCCGGAAATTTCAGCTGTTTCAAGATCAGCCTCTTATAATAATTTTGCAATACTTATTCATCTAAAGGCTCCATTTGCAAGTAGATGCAGTAGTGAGGGAAATCTAAACAACTTGCCTCCAAGACCCCAAAATTCACGTGCTCCAGTTGATCTTGTCACCGTGCTTGATGTTAGTGGCAGCATGGCAGGTACCAAGCTTGCTCTACTGAAGCGCGCTATGGGTTTTGTGATCCAGAACCTTAGCCCCTCTGACAGGCTTTGTGTAATTGCCTTCTCCTCAACAGCCCGCCGCCTCTTTCCTCTTCGACGGATGACTGAGACTGGAAGGCAGGAAGCATTGCAGGCTGTTAACTCTCTGATTTCAAATGGTGGGACAAACATTGCCGAGGGTTTGAGGAAAGGTGCTAAGGCAATAGTGGATCGCAGATGGAAGAATCCAGTTGCCAGTATCATATTGTTATCTGATGGGCAGGATACCTATACTGTTACTAGTCCTAGTGGGAACCTTTCAAGAACAGACTACAGATCCCTTCTTCCTGCTTCAATTAACCGCAATAGTGAGACAGGCCTCCAGATTCCTGTGCATGCATTTGGGTTTGGTGCGGACCATGATGCTGCTTCAATGCATTCGATTTCAGAGTTATCCGGAGGTACATTTTCTTTTATTGAAGCTGAGGGTGTGATTCAGGATGCATTTGCCCAATGTATTGGGGGTCTTCTAAGTGTTGTAATTCAGGAGCTGCATGTTCGAGTTGAGTGTGTTCATCCCAGTTTGAGAATTGGTTCAATAAAAGCAGGAAGTTATCGAACTGGCTTGGCATCTGATGCTAGAATGGGTTCTATTGATGTTGGGGACTTGTATGCTGAAGAAGAAAGGGATTTTTTGGTGACAATCAATATTCCAGTTGATGGATCATGTGATGAGATGTCATTGCTTAAGGTTAGATGTGCTTATAGAAACCCTGTTACAAAAGAAGCAGTTACCTTGGATGAAGCCAGTGAAGTTAAGATTCAGCGGACTCAAATAACTGGACAACCAGTAGTGTCCATGGAAGTAGACAGGCAACGAAACAGGCTTCGTGCAGCGGAAGCAATGGCTGAAGCCAGAGTTGCTGCTGAGCGTGGTGATCTAACTGGTGCAGTCTCTCTCCTCGAAAGCTGTCGCAAAATCTTGTCTGAAACCGTCTCTGCACGAGCAGGGGACAGACTGTGTGCTGCACTATGTGCTGAGCTGAGAGAAATGCAAGAAAGAATGGCAAACCGGCGTGTGTACGAATCATCAGGAAGAGCGTACGTGCTGTCTGGCTTGAGCTCACACTCATGGCAGAGAGCAACTGCTCGAGGTGACTCCACAGATAGCACGAGCCTCGTACAAGCATACCAGACGCCATCCATGGTGGACATGGTGACTCGATCGCAGACCTTGGTCTTTGGGAATCCCTCGTCTCAAAGGAAACTACGACAAGCTCTTTCGTTACCAAATCCGAGGTAATCAAGTAGTATTTAGCTGAAAATTCTCCTCAAACTAAGTTTCATTATTCAGTATCAATGAACCATTTTGTTCTTTCTTTTCTTTTGGATTTCAATTTTTGTTTCTTGGGAAAGTTTGTTGGGGGTGATAAAAGGAGGGTGATTGGTTTTTTACATGGTGAGTATTATTCACTTAGTTTGGTATGTAAATGAATAAGAAAATTAGGGGGATGGTGATATAATGGTTTTTGACAAAATTGGAGGGTGGGATTTTGATGGCTGAAACATTTATGGGGTGATGATTATGTAAATAAGCAGAAATTGTGGGGGGTTTTTTTTTTTTTCTTTATGAGAAAAAAAAAAAGGAAGAGGAGAGAGGTAGGGGGTATAACCATGTAATTGTGGAGAATTTTTCACCAAGGATATGATGATATATATATACACATATATATCTTCCCTTTGATTCTTTTTTTTCTCAAAGATTATGTTGTCTTTTATTATTTATTTATTTAGATTAATTGCTGAATCATAATTTTTGAAAATTATTATTTTTAATTTAATTTCAAAGACTATATATTCTCTATTTCTAAAATGTTTAAAAAGAAATAGAGAAGGGATTTTATTTCTTACTTTGAATTTATTAATATTGAAATTAATAATTAACAATTGAAAATTACTGTTCTTAATGTACTACTTGTAAGTTGGTGGCATGTGAGTTTTTTTTTTTTAACCCTAACCAAAAGCATAAAATATAAATTAATTAAAGTTTGAATCTTTGAGACTTTTCTTTTTAATTATGAATTATGAATTCAATGACGTTAAAATACGTGAAAGGGGAAAGCTAAGAGTAGACTTTCTTTTCTTTTTTGAAAAAAATAAAAAGTCTAGGTTTGGTTTTTATTTTATTAATGATTATTTTAATTACAAGAATTTAAGATAGATATAATATATATATTTTTTTGGGATGTCTTGATTTTGTAGAAATATAATATAATATGACAATTACAATTCTATTAATATAACAAAAATTTTATCTATTTTTTTAAAATTATTTTTAATTTTATTTTTCATCAAATTTTTTTCATTTTTACACTAAAAAATTAAAAAAATTATATTTACAAATTAATTTAAATTACACAAAAAATTAATTTGAGGTATTACATTACACGCAAAATCGGTCAAAAGCAGCCAGGTTAGGAGGAATCGTCGCCATGGGCGGCGAAGCCAGCGCCGAAGCATGGCGACGGCGCTGTGACGCAACCCTAAATTGGTTGGAAAAAATTTTAAAATGCCTATTTTGATCTTTTGAGATATTTTTGAATACGTAATGAGTATTTTTAATTTTCGGATGAAAAATTCAAGAAACTCGAGGACCGCGAGGAGGCACAGTGAAAAATACAGTATTTTGAACACCGATTCGAGATAAGAATTTCTTACATTTTTTCCTGTTATGGTAAATTGAAGTTTAATAATCAATAATATTATGTTTTGTAAAAATTAGAAAAATCATAAAATTAGTTACAGGTCACCAGTGGAGCCAAAACTGATCAGTATGTAATTGCTTATTTTATTTGCATTGCTCATTTATTGTTAAGTTGTTCAGCTTGCTTACCACATGAACTTTGATTTATTAGTTTAATTATTTTCTCGTTTATTGATTGTCTAACTGTTTATTTTCATTGGTTGACTGATTTAAAATAAATACTCTAATTATATTTCTTAATTGTTAAAGTATAAATTTGCATTGTTTGCTTACATGTCGTTCTATTGATTTATAAATATTAAATAAGACGTTGGTATGCGATTGGTGATGGTTTAATGATGTGAATCTATGTATGAAATGGTTACTTGGTATCTTGAGAAATAATGGACGGACCCAGTATATAGGAAAAACCCTATTGTGGACATTATTTCAGTTGTACAAGATTGAAAAATCTCATACCGGAAGGAGTTGAGATGTATAGTTCACCCTCATACCGAACGGGGTATTGAAATGATGACATGGTTGGCGCTGGTTACCAGACGAGGTATAGGGACAACTGGTTAATCAATAACTTGGATATTGGGTCTATGTATAAGGGAGATCCCTATGAGTTCCTAGAGTGTAGTGACTAGAAATAAAATAAAATAAAATAAAATAAATAAAAAATATAGGTAGGAAACGACGCTGTTTTAATGAGGGAAAAAAACGACGTCGTTTTGGAAGGAAAAAAACGACGTCGTTTTGGAAGGAAAAAAACGACGTCATTTTGGGATGGAGGAAAATGACATCGTTTTGAGTAAGCTGGTAGGGTATAAAGAGAGGTCGGGAAAGGGTGAAGAGAAAAGAAAAAAAAACGAAAAGGAGAGAAGGAAAAGAGCGGGAAGGAGGAAAAGAAGAAGGGAATGAAGGTTCCAGAAAAAGAGAGAAGAGAGTCGGAGCGGAGAGGAGCGAGAAGGGAGAGGGAAGAAGGCCGTGGACGGACGATGATACCGGCAGAAGGAAGGAAGATGGAAACGGGAGGTACGATGAAAATTTCAGTTGCTTTGGTGTGGTGTGAGTTGTGAGCTATTTGCAGGTTGCAGAGTCTGTAGGTGGTGTAACTGAGCTGAGAGGTGGAGCTAGGCGGTAGAGTGTGGGATTATTCCGCACGTTCGCGGAGGAGGCCGTGGGAAGCGAGAGGATGGCGATGTTTGGAGCGTACGGGGAACCGTGGGGGAAAATAGAGGTTGTGCGAGTATCACAAAGGGAGGACCACTGGGAGGAAGAGTGAGTGAGAAATCTAATGAGTGCGGGGGGAAAATCTGAGATGACAGGAAGAGTTGTGTGCGTGGGTGGAGGCGCGGAGGGAGTCGCGAAAGGAAGGCGACGTATTCAGTGAGCGTACAGTGGAAGGGGTGAGTGTAAGGATTGAGACGCAGTGAGTCGAGAGGTTTCTAACCGCCCTAGGGAGGCAAAAGTATAAAGGAAGCAGGAGGAGGCAGAAGGATAGGGGAAGTGGAGCGTGAGGGCGGTGGGTGAGAGAAGAGTACTGGATTGTACGGTGGAGAGGACTAGGATATAGGAATCGGGGAGTGATGGGGTTCGGATGAGGGAGGAGGTGTAACATAACAGTAGGGGGAGGTAAGTTGGATGGGGCAGAGAGTGTAGTTGCTTGGGATTAGAATGGCGCAAGAATAGATGGTAACGTGTGGTTTAGGATGGGAGAGTAGGGGTGTGTCGGTGAGGTGTAGTGTGAGTCGCCGATGTTGGTGACGTGAGATGGTGTGAGTGCGTGGCCTAATGAGGTCGAGGGGTGGAGGAGAGAGTATGAGTCGCCGATGTTGGTGACGTGGGATGATGTTACTTGTGTGTGTGCGTGGCCTAATGAGGTCGAGAGGTGGAGGATAGAGTATGAGTCACCGATGTTGGTGACGTGAGATGATGGTACTTGTGTGTGTGTGTGGCCTAATGAGGTCGAGAGGTGGAGGAGAGAGTATGAGTCGCCGAAATTGGTGACGTGAGATGATGATACTTGTGTGTGTGCGTGGCCTAATGAGGTCGAGAGGTGGAGGAGTGAGTATGAGTTGCCGGTGTTGGTGACATGAGATTATGGTACTTGTGTGTGTGCGTGGCCTACTTAGGTCGAGAGGTGGAAGAGAGAATATGGGTCGCCGATGTTTGTGACGTGAAATGAAGGTACTTGTGTGTGTGCATGGTCTCATGAGGTCGAGTGGTGGAGGAGAGAGTATGAGTCACCGATGTTGGTGATGTGAGCTAATGGTACTTGTGTGTATGGGTGGTCTAGTAAGGTTGTGAAGTAGCGTGGTGAGTGTGGGTAGTCGATGTTGATGATGTAAGGTGTTGGTTTGTTGTTGTGTGTGTGCTATTGATTGCCCGAATTGTTCCTTTAGGGTAGGATTTTGATGGCTAGTTGTAAGGGAGTTATATAATTTATTTTGGGTTGGGTAGGATAATTGCATATAGACATTTCTGAATTTCTTGTCACTGCATACTACACCTGCAACTTGATTTTTATCATATTGAGTTATGTGAACTCACTTCTCATCATTTACAGATGGAGTAGGAACAGAGCCGGGATCCGAGCTGCTGATAACGGAGCCCAGTCTGTAGTGCCATAGGACACAAATTTTATTTGTGGCGTAAAATAGTTTGTAAAAGTTGTCTTATTATGGATATTGATTTCTGAAAATGTATGATATTGTGTTGCCATGTGATGTAGAGGTAGAATTGTATGTGCATTTGGTTTGGAATAATGAGCTGTGGACAAGTTTCTCTTATGCATAATTGGAATGACATGGGATTTGCGTGTCGAGTCGTAAGAGTGCTTTATCTTATGCCGTTAAGAAAAAAAAAAGGGTGTTACATAGAGGCACTGGTAGGCAGGTAAGAAGGTAATTTGTTATTATTACTCATTTGAATATAAAATTACAATGTTATTCGGGTTATTGTCTTCATAGGTCGATTTTGAAAACTTATAAGGATAAGTATGAATTAATGGTTTTTATGTTAAATGACTTTATTTAAGAAAGTAAATTACTCAATTGGTTATTTTATGATTTTTTACCAACTTTCGGTTCTTCATATTTGTGATAAATGTGATATTCTTATTGGGTTAATATAGTTTATTACACTATTTAGTTATTTCAGATCAAGAAAACTAATATTTAGATCTTAAACAGCAGGAGGGTTGCGAATAAAAAGTTACTTACTGGACCCTATTAGAGTTGTCTAGCGGAGGTTAACCCCATATGATTTTTATTTCATTGTTTTAACCATTTATTTCCTTACTATGAACTGTAGAAAGAGAGACAGTCTCATAATCCTATTGAATATACTAATTTATTGTGTAAGAAATATAAACCCTACATTTTAAATTGCTTCCGCTTATAGTTGATATAATTCAATATTTTCATTTCTTTTAGCCTTGGGCTTTTACACAAAATCTCATAATTTACAATCAATTCATTCAATATTTTCCTTTTAAGAGGACAAATTTTCACATTTAAATTACATGTTAGATGTACTAATATCTTACTCCATTTATCTAGAAACTTTGGTTTAAACTCTTTGTTACTGGATAAAAGATACATCTTCTTTGCATTTATTAAGGTTCTGTGTCTATGATTATTATCATTGAAATTGGAATAATGTTCGTCTTTGAAAAAATTGGTTTAAATTTATTATTTTTAAATAAAATATAAAAAATTTAATAATTATACCATCAGATTAATTTTAACATATTAAAAAGTGTTAGCCAGTACTAAGAAAATGACCTTGGATTTTATTTTTTTTTGTCCTTTTTGAAAAAAAAATATTAAATTAATTTTTAGTATATTCATCCAATCAATTAATTTTATAACTTCAAAAATCATAAGGCATAAAATAGTTATTTATAGTTGGTATTTTAAATTATTTGTTAATTCCATATATTGAATTTATTTATATGTTTAAAAATAATAAATTGAATTGTGCAATATGATTTTGTAATTGTAATAATTTTTTTTTGACTTTTTGAAAAATAAACATCATAATTAATTCAATTACATTAGTGCAATAATTTTATAGTTGTATTATAGCTTCATTGACTTTTGGATCAGCTTATTAAAATCAGTGCACTAAGTTTAACATTTTTATTAGAAAAAATTATATATATATATATATATATGAAATATCGGGTAAATATGTAAGTAATTAAATATGTATTTAACACTTGGAATATGCATATACAAATAAAAAATAATTATAAAATTATCCATAATCTCAAATTAATAATTCTGTTTAGTCATTAACAGATAATTAATTGTTTATTTATATTAAATCCTTCCATATAATTACTGGTCCCACTGCCCAAAAATGATGATGCCACGTGATAGCCCTACAGGGGAAGACCGCGCCACCTCGACTTCTGTGCATGATCTCTCCATTGGCTTTTCTCATCTCACCGATTTGAACTCACCGATTTGTAGCCCTCGACTCACTCTCACTCGCCCAGACATTCCGATCCTGTCTGGCTTATATGTTTATCTGGATTCCGTCGCTAATCAAGCTTGAAACATGTTAAATCGGAGAAAAAGGCACTTTTCTGGACTCTCCCGGTAAGTGCTTCTGGAGCTGAAATCAGAGGGTTAGTGTTTTATTATCAGGTAATTATGAATTCATTCTTCATAATCTGGTGTGTGTTATGCGCGACTGGATTCTTTCCAACCAGTGATGTGTTGCAATAGCATTGGCTCGAAGATTTATGTGTCGGTCTCGTCGTGGAAGTTTCAGCAAATTAGCAGAGCTCCATAAGTGGTCCTCTTGATTTTAATCAAAGTGGCGGCTTCTGTTTAATCAAATGGTCCATATTTGACGAGACCCCACCCACTACCCAGTTCCCGACAGCCGACACCGCACCCGGCGGGACCCATTACAAGTCTAACGTTCGAATTTTGCCTTATGGGTATCGCTTTACCCTTCTCATTGTGGGTATATATATATATGGATGTCTGTGTGTGTATTTATTTATGTGGTGTATCTGTATATGCCTTTGAAGCCAAGTCTTTTTGAATAGTTTTTAACCGTTACCTCTGTGGTAGTCTCCTCCTACTTGTCATCATCTCTTGTAGATTACAATCTTTTGTTTTTTGGTTATTTTTTAATATGGAAAGTTTCCATTTTTACACAGTAGGAGCAAAAACCACATTATGCGTTTTACTCTAATCTAATCACCGTGATTTGCTACCTTAATGGTTGAGGAGTCTTTTTCATGTTGTGCAAATGGGTTGCTTTCAAAAAGAGCTGGTTGGTGGGTATTCTTTTAAACTATTATTCTTCCATTTTATCTACTTTATGTATATATTTATATTTTACAGCAACAGAAAAGAACATAACATCAGTCTCTATCCAACTTACAATCTTCTGATATGTACCTGTTTATAAGCATTCTCCTTAATTATTAACTTTGTACCGCTTGATTGATGATTGGTTTGCTCATTTTGAGAGCTATCTGGTGCCTTCATCTTCTTAGGTATGTGTGGTTTTGCTTGTTAATATTTACCCTTGTTTCGAACTTAAGTTCAAAATGGCTTAACTGGGGGTGCTTTTTGGATGCATTAGCTTTTTGGTTAAAGTTAATCTGATTAAAGAGATTTTTGGTTGATTTTTATTTGCTAATTTTCCAACAATGAAAACGAAGTAAGATAGTTCTTAAAATTTATGCTAACAAGACTAGAATTATGGCTTTAGGTAAGAGTCTTTTCAGCTTAATTAATTCCCTTGGGTTGGATTTGAAAAGTAAAGACATGAGATGCCATTTTCAAGCTGGGTGTCTTAATTGTTTGATTGCAACTTGTATTATGGTCACAGCTCTCCATGATGGGTACATGTGCTTGTTTTTTTATGAATTGAAAATTTTCAGCCGTATATCATTATTTCACTGAGATATATTTACAATTTGCCGAATTTCTTGCTGAAAAAACTGAAAGTGGAATCTAAATGCTACAGTAATTATATTGTTTGTTTGATTAGATACTTCATGTGGTGGATTGAAAAGAGTTGGCAGCTCCAAATGTTTGTTGGCCAACCTTGAATTTTTAACCTTACCTTGCCCTAATCATATTTTACTTAAGCATGTCTGTATATGGAAATGTTAGGCACGGTGAGCATCAAAATGCTCTCTTGATTTTCAAAGTTTATCATGCTAGATTTTTGGTTTGAAAGGAAAGGAAATCCCTTTAATCAAATTCCTGTTCAGCCATTGAACAGAATGGCTGCCGTTGTTTCTCCCTTTTTCTCAATTTGAGTAGATGTTCTGTTCAACTTTCTATAGCTATTCCAATGGCTCTTGGTTGTCATAATTTGATTAGGCCTGTGGTTCTTCTATTTATGGATATTTTAAAGTGTGTTCTTTCTAGTTGAGTTTACATGTTTTATGTTTGAACTGAGTTATTACTACCTTTGTCATACTTATTCTTAAGATTTTTTTTATATATTATTTGTCTGTGCAGATTGGAGGTTTTGAGCTTGAGGTAGTTAAAAGGGTTCACTTGTCTCCAATGAAGGTCTCTAATTTCTCTCCTACTTGTCTTTGTTTTAACAGGATTGTTTCCTTTTCACTTACATGGCTTTCAAACAGATTACAAAAAAAATGTCATGTGCTAGTTCATAATCTTAATTTGTGGTCTCTGTTCATATAATATAATTGCAAAACAACCTAAAACTTATATAGAAATGCTGTTGGATTTCTAGAATTGACCAAGAACTCGTGTACAGGGAAATGGAAGTATTTAATCTACTATTTTTACACTGGTTCTGAATTGGAATAGGCTTGAGTTTACCTGTTTCTCCTTTTGACTTTTTTGAATATCTAATTACCTGCTTTAGTTTTCCTATTTTCGAGAGAAACTACTAAAGCTTCTTCTCTTTTGTCTTTCAATCTAGTGTTTGCACTGAAATGAAGCTTCAAGTCAAAGTTGCCCTCGCTTTTCTAATTGGATTGATCTTGATTCAGCAATGTCTCTGCGGTTAGTGCCAAGATTTATATCATCTTTAAATTCCAATGTCTCCTAATCTGTCTATTTTGATAGGAATACACCTAGGGTCCTGTTTTATCTGTCATAGTCAAAATTGACAAATTTTTGTAGATAGATTTACATTGTAATATCCTTCAGTTGCCTATGATACAAATTGAGCCCTTAAATCTTTTTCAATGTAACTGTAGTTAATCTTATCATTATAGAACACCAGATATATAGCACTTGGTGTCACACTTATATCTATATGCTACAAAGTTTTTCATTTCCCTCGAAAAAAAAGAAGAGTTCTTAACTGCTGATTACTTGATTTTTGTAGATGAACTTTCCAATACATCAGGCGTAAGCAACTGGACATGTACATGTTCTTTCTCGTCCCAAGGAAACCAAAGCTATGTTCCAAAGTCTAACTGTTCTACATCTTGTGATTGCACTAAAGGTATGCTGCTGATTTTTATGGTTTAGTTTCCAAATTCCGATTCAAACTGCCATCACTACAAGGCCTAAAAGCATGTATGTCACGTTTATCATGGGCTGTATCCATAGCATGACTCTGTTGGTATGAGGTATAGAACACATATTTCTAGTTGGTGGAATATAATTATGCATTATTAAAAACATAATCTTTTGGTGAACAATGTAGCCTTTTTCGTAAGAGCTGCTGGTACTGAAGCAGATGCACCAAAACCTAGTTCTTTTTAAACCAATGGCAGGCGTGCAATATGATTCAGTTGCTTATGATTCTTAGCCATACTCTTTAGTAAAGAACATAAGATATAATGGTTTTGTAATGAGATTATTTTGAAGAGATTTCAAGTACAACTAATGACTGTTTTGATCAAATATTTGACCCCCACTATTTTTTCTTTTTGCTTGGTTGGCATGTTTCCATAAGATTTAACTATTTCAAAAAGAATCCTTATAATCCACAATGTTATTATCTGTAACAATTTACAAGCTTACCGAGACTGGACTGTTTGTGGGCAAGTCTTTTTTTCTCCATATTAACAGTCAGTTTATAAAATTCCTTAATGGGATTGGGGCCTTTTAAGTTTTTTACTCACATGTTTATTTTTGGTAAAATAATCATGTAGTGTTTAATACATTAACTTCACTACCGTCCCTGAAACAGTTGGAGAATCCAATGGAGATAGGTGGACATGCATATGCCCTGCAGATGGATTCCCTAAAGTAGCAGCTGATGGTCATGACACCACATGTTTTACTGCCTGCAATTGCACTGCTGGTAACTTTGATGTTTTTACATAGCATCAACTCATTTACTCTGCTCAGAACTTTATCCAAAATGAAATACAATAATCCTGCTACTTTGTAGGATCTAAGACCTTTTTGCATCCATTCAGAAGTAGATGAGATCTCCGTTCATAGAAATTGAATGTACTACAAATCTTTTAAAGGATTTGGGAATTGTTTAATCTGTTTACAGCCCCACGATTGTAAAGTTGTAGTGGATGAGATTTTTTAGGCCATATACCATCTCCATGGTAATGATAATGAGAAGGGTGAAGCTCATTTATTCTCGTACTGTCTGACATTTGATCTGTCTAGGGTATACACTGGTTTCAATGATGCATATTATGCTTACCATATTTAGAGTTATATCACTTCAGATTTATATTTAAAGTTTCAACCATTTTTCTGATGGAGTTCAGGAGCTTATTCACTACCATTTAATTGCTCCTTGCCAGGATCTTTCAGTGCAGCACAAGTTTCAAGAAACCACATTTCAACCAAAGTTGTTGTGATCATTCTCCTACTCTCTGTCATACTCACAACACTCACATTTCTTGCTTCAGTAATGTGTTACATTTATCGAAGGGACAGGGGCAAGTGCACTGTTCAAACACCAGCATTCTTGTCAGACAAAGAAACAAGTTGCAATAGCGCTACTAACTTAATTAACCATAAGATTTTGCTGCCAGAAGCAAACATTAAGATTGCCTCTTCTCTTAATTCTTTGACTGGTAGGTGGGCTGTTATCACTATAACTTCTTTCTTTGGGAAGAACTTTTGTTGCTTCACACTTCTGTACTCTTACTCCTGTGAGTTTATTCAGCGGAATATGCACTTCAATATGATTTTTCATGTTTTTGCCTAGAATATAAGATCTTTTCTTGCTCCAAATGCTAGATTAAATGAAGCAATTTCCTATGTGTAGGGTGCTTTCAAAAGGCTTCTTCCTTTTGCAATAGCAAAGCAGAGATAATACATGGAACTCTTATCCGATTTTCATACTCTGAATTAGAAAATGCAACAAAGAGATTCTCCAATTCCAACTTAATAGGACTTGGGGGAAGCAGTGTTGTATACTGCGGTCAGCTTAAAGATGGCAGAACAGTTGCTGTAAAGCGACTGAAACTCCAGGGAGGGCCTGATGGAGATGCCATTTTTTCAACAGAGGTACTGCTGATTTTGCCTTTTTCCCTTCTGTGAAGGGTTAGGTGATATACGTACATCTCTTATTTCCTTCCTGAGAAATAGGAGTGATTCTTTTCTACTTCAAGACATCATTGGGTATTATACCATATATGGTTTTCCTCAGGTTGAACTATTGTCAAGACTCCATCATTTCCACGTGGTGCCTTTGATTGGCTACTGTTCAGAATTCCGAGGGAAACAAGCTGAGAGGCTACTGGTATTCGAATACATGCTTAATGGTAATTTGAGGGACTGTCTGGACGGGGTTTCAGGAGAAAACATGATGTGGAGCACTCGCGTTGCTATTGCAATAGGAGCTGCTCGAGGCTTAGAATATCTTCATGAAGCTGCTGCTCCAAGAATTTTGCACAGGGATGTAAAATCTACAAATATCCTTCTGGATGAAAATTGGAGAGCTAAAGTAAGAATCTTTACAGGTCAAATATCTCTTTACTCCATTTCTAATATTAAACTTCACAAGGAACTAGGAGGGACTAGAATATTATGTTAAAGATACTCTTTTTCTTGAGTATCGTGGATTAGAGGTTGAAACCTTAATCACGCGTTTTGTATATATGTCCTGACCTTATTCCTTACTAAACACGTGCAGATAACTGATCTTGGTATGGCTAAAAGTTTAAGACCTGATGGCCTTCCTAGCTGCTCAAGTTCTCCGGCACGAATGCAGGGTACTTTCGGCTACTTTGCCCCAGAATATGCAATTGTTGGAAGAGCATCACTAATGTCAGATGTTTTCAGTTTCGGTGTAGTTCTTCTTGAGCTTATCACCGGTAGGCAGCCTATCCAGAAATCAACTGATAAAGGAGAAGAAAGCCTCGTTATATGGGTATGGTAGACCATCATTTCTTTTATTGAGTTCAGTTTTAGTTCTGAGATGCCTTTAGTCCTCGCAAATTACGTCTTTGCTATATCTGTGTGGAAGCTTATCCATGATCACAATCCTCGGCTTATAGTAGCTCAAATATCTATAATACTTCTTACATGTAATCTATGTTACTATCGGTTACATATAGGCAACTCCACGTTTACAAGATAGCAGGCGAGTTATAGCAGAATTGCCTGATCCACGTCTAAAAGGACATTTCCCGGAAGAAGAGATGCAAATAATGGCTTACCTCGCAAAGGAATGCTTGCTGATGGATCCCGATGCTCGACCAACCATGAGCGAGGTTGTGCAAATCCTCTTAACAATTGCACATGATAAATCTCGAAGGAGACACATTCCTGTTAATCTTTTCCGGGTAACGCAACTGTTCTCTTATTTCTTGCTTTCTAACGAATCTCTTTTACAAAACCTAGTAAGATGTTGTACTTGTTTTGCTTTTTTCTGCTCTGTGTAGACCTCATCTGTCCACAAGGCGAAGAATGAGTCATTTGAAGCAAAAGCTGTCAATCTATCTGAGGCTGCTTCCATTTCAGCAGAGCAGTTGCCACGAGCCACATCTATTAAACAGTCATCACGTAATTCATTGCCATTACACCTCGAACGTGCTCTCTGTGCTGGATCAAATGGTAAAGAAGCTAATGCCAGTTCGTCTGATTATATGGAACGGCTGATACTATTGACTTCACAAGCCAGAAGTTGGCGTGCTCAGGATGACGAAATAGTGGACTTAACGGAGCCTCGACTTGAATCATTCTGCATTGCAAATATTAAATCACCCTGATCTAAAGAAGACAAAGAACAAAGCAGAAGAAACACCAAGTATTACATCACACATATTTTGGTGTAAAAATTTGTTTCGGTCTCCTTTTTACTGCTGTAGATTGGAGGATTGTAGAGTAAGCAAGCTAGTTCGTGAAGCCATAACCGGTTGATTGTTTCTTTTTCCCGATTGGAAGATGTATCATACCACAGGTTTTCTTTCTTTTTCCTTTAGTATCTCCTTTCAATTTCCTTTGTAGTATTCGTGCTTGTTGCCTTGTACAGAAGTCACAGAGAGAATCCAATGTTTATCATAGTTTAAGATTTGTTTTTAGAGATTCTTGATAGTTGGTTCACTTGCAACTTTCATTTGCAGATTTATCACAATCACTAGCCTGCTTATATATGGTTTATTGCCAAGATTGCATAAGAATATGAGATCAAATTGTCTTCACACCCATGTTTCAAAGAATCAGTTTATCAACTTTTTTCTCATGAATTTTTTACTGATCATTGTAAATATCATATTTTTAACTTTCATTTGCAGATTTATCACAATCACTAGCCTGCTTATATATGGTTTATTGCCAAGATTGCATAAGAATATGAGATCAAATTGTCTTCACACCCATGTTTCAAAGAATCAGTTTATCAACTTTTTTCTCATGAATTTTTTACTGATCATTGTAAATATCATATTTTTAACTAAATGAAAGACTGTAGACAAAATTAATTTTTTTGTAAAGATTAAATTGAAATAATTTAACGTGATAAACAAAAAAACTGAATACTAACAACGTAATTAATAGGGTAAAACGACAGATCTACTGCGAAAAGTAGTTGAAGCAGTCAGGTTCAATATCATCACCCTTTTGATTGAAATTTAGTATAGGAATATGTAAAGGTTTCCCTTTGAAATTTGAATGGTAGATGAGACTGGATGGTGAAGTACTACTTCAAGAACAAATATATGAACCTTACATTCTGCCAATTCACCAATATCTTCCATCTTGCTCACTTCAGATCATAAATGGATCCTCCTCCTCCACCAACCGTGCCTTTGCTCCCTCCAACGACCCCGACCGGAGGAATGTTAGATCACTGGTAATTTTTCTTTTGTTGCTCTTCTTTTTTGCTAGAAAGCAAAATGAAATCCTCAGTTTTAAACTTCAATTTTCTAAAATGGTGTGTGTGTTTAATTTTTAATTTTAGTTTTACACTGTCATAATGTATATATGTATGTTTATATATGGTTAATTTTTGCAGCTTCAGGTTTTTGTGTTGCTGTGGTTTGTTCAGAAGCTGCTTTCCTCCACTCTTTGAGCCAGGACCTCCTTTATAGAAGTTGGTTTAATCTTGATTAACAAGAAGATTGGTGGATTAATGTATCAATTATTCAGTTAAAAATTTTTATTTATATAAATAGCTCTTATAATATTTTATTTATATATATGGAATCGTATTTTTTTATTAAAAATATCTTTATATAAATTAATAAATTTTGATTGTGTAATTACTTAAATTTTAATTTAAATAAAAATTTAAATTTTAACTCTTACGTAATAAAATAATAAATATTATATTATAATTAAATTTTTTATATATAATTAATTATTAAAAAAAAGAGAAAAAAATACCCTTATAACTAATATGAAGTTGGCAATTAACCCATAAAACAAATTAGAATAATTTAATTTTCTTAAAATCTGTCAAATTTTCTGATGTGGTATATCACCTAATAAACTTACTGTTTTAGAAACAAATAATCAAATTTATTATTGTTTTTTAAAATGATTTAATTTAACAATGCAATTAATCTTCAATGGTGTTCAATCTTTCAAATACATAAATGAAAATACGTAAGTTGAAAACCAGTATCTTTGGTATTTGTATAAGATATTTTTTGCTAGGAAAATAAAGATAATTACTTTATAAGAAATATATAATTCTCTGAGGCCAGAATTAGAATAAATGGACCATTTGATCCGATGAGAGCCCACATTCATGGCTGAAGGAGCCCAAAGCTTCTTTCTTTGCAGAGAAACTGAGAAGGGTGTTCATGGGTAGTGCTATTGCAGAGAGAACTCTTTGAAAACTTCGGCCTTTCTCACTGTTTTGAGTACCCGGAAGAAGAAGAAGAAGTAGAAGAAGAAGAAACGAGGCCGAATATCACGAAGATGGCGACAAAACCCGGTGGCAATCCGGCGACGTATGCCCCTACTCTGCCCCGGAAAAACCTGACCCCCATTTTTAAAGACAAGGACCTTGACTGGGTTCGACCCGACGGTCGAGGATTCCACCAATGCCGACCTGCTTGTACGCTCTTTTCCTCCTTTTCCTCTTCGAGCAATACGTTATTTTTGATATTTATATGGTTGAATCTCGATACATGAAGTTACTACCAGTAGCGATTTTCTGGTTCTCTGCCTTGTTATGATTTCATGTTATGTTTTGTGTTGAATCTTTATGAACTTTATTCTGTTCGCGCTGAATTTATTTGCTTTGATAAATGGTGATCGGCTTTGAACTTGGTTGCATGTAAATATTCTTGTGGAATTTTTAGGGTTCATCGCTTTTTTTTAGATCCTCTTTTAGTTTTTTATGCATGCTGGTTTAGTCACTGAACTGTTAATGAAATGCAGTTTTTCGAACTGGTGCTGCAAATGCTGCTTCTGGGTCTGCTTATGCTGAGTTTGGGAATACCAAGGTCATTGTGTCTGTGTAAGTACTAATCTTTATATGTAATTTCTTGTGGAGCCAAATAGAGTCTTAATTTCATGCTTCTTGGGTTCATATGGTCTCATTTTTTTTATGATCTAGTCGTTAACTTTTCCTTTCAAATAATGATTTATGGTGTTTTTGTGTTATGTTCATTGCCTGGTGTTGACATGGTCGTAGAGTTGAGTAACTCTATTTTCCTTAAAATTATATGTGTTTTAATGATATATAACTTATGGATTTATCTTTATGTCATGTTGAATTCAGATTTGGGCCAAGAGAAAGTAAGAAAGCAATGATGTATAGTGACACAGGAAGGTTAAATTGTAACGTGAGCTACACAACTTTTGCTACCCCAGTTCGTGGTCAGGTATGCTTATTTTCGGATGTGGATTTTGCAAATATGGAGACTTTTTTTACTTGTGATTGTTGTATTTGATGTACGGTTTTGCCAGGGATCAGATCACAAGGAGTTTTCATCATCAGTGCTACATAAAGCTTTGCATGGTGCAATAATCTTGGATTCGTTCCCCAAGACAACCGTAGATGTCTTTGCATTGGTATTAGAGTCTGGAGGCGGTAAGTCAATGACCACTTAATAACTTTCCGGAAATGTGTATGTGATTATTAAAAGTGAAAATAGAATGGAAGGGAAAATTATGGAAATGCCAACTCCGCTATATGATTTCTTGATGATTCGCTTTCTGTTATATTCAGCTGAAATGTGTCAGTAGTTGGTATTCTGAGAATAGTAAATAGTTGAAACTCCACAATAGGTCACTACTTAGAAATGTTCCTATTATGCATGGGTATATCCATATTGCACCAAGTTTATTTCATTTACTCAGAGCATACTCGCGACCTTCGTACTTTTTGGTTTCAGGTGATCTTCCTGTTATTATATCATGTGCTAGCCTGGCCCTAGCAGATGCAGGGATTATGATGTATGACCTTGTCACAGCTGTTTCTCTGGTATGTTTCTGCCGCGGACATGTTCATTTCTCACGTTTTCTAGTCCCCTTTAATTATCATCATATGTTTATAAACAATCATGCCTTTATCCTTATCTAAATTCTCTTCACATTTTGTTCTGCTATGTCACTTGCATGTGCCATGGATATTGAAATTAACAAAATCTATTTTTCTAAATAGAAAGGAAGAAGACAACATTGAAATTAATGTTTGGCCAAAACATTTTAGACTGTATGGTGAACGGGAGACTAATAGGGCAGCAGGTGACTAACATTTTCTTTCGGTTCCTTCTCTATGCACCTTCATACTCTTCGTAGAACTCTCTTGTTGACCTTACCAGTATCAAAATTGAACCATCTGCCATGTTCTTAATGCAAAATCCACCACAATTTTCACAATTCAGGACATCTGCATTTGTGGGTTTCCAAATCTTCAATTTACAACAATCTGTAGGTTGCATTTTCTTTAATGCTCGGAAACCTAGAGTGTGGATGAAACCCATATCTAAGGCAAGGAGGCCTTGACATTGAACCTGAGCTCCCTATGCAACACTTTCAAGCACGATGCATCTTCTAATAAGTATTATAAAGATCTTTCTTCCCCTTTATTGCAAAATGTCTTTTTAACAAAGTAGTATAACTCGAAAGGTGGTAAATTTTAAAATCAAATTAAGACCTTACAGTAAACAGCTACATCTATAAATTACAATAACGAAGAACTGGAGATTTTGTTTGCCAGTACGTTCAATGCCTAAATTTCGATATTGGCAGCATTGTAAAACAGATAAAACAATTTGGCTGTGGCAATTAGATTGATGGTGTTCATTCTTGGAAGTTGATATACATGCTCTGTTTATAACTGATTAATTTGTTGGTTGTGGTGGTTTGAGAAACTGCTATTAGCATACTGTGTTATTTATCATTATTATTATCATTATCTTCTTTATGTTGGCTTTTTCAACTTTCAGCCTGATAATATGCTTAAAATGTATGCAATTGCGTGCTTTACAAAATTTATTGTTTTTCTATTAGAACAATCTGTGTGTACCATCAGCTATCCTTACAGACTTGTAATTGAAGTCCTTGGATGTTTTTTGTGTGGTTACCTTCACATACTAATGCACTCAGATTATTTTTCATCTAAGACTTGTATAGGGAAAAACCTTATCATTGATCCTGTTCTGGAAGAAGAAAGTCACCAGGACGGAAGCCTAATGATTACTTGTATGCCTTCTCGTTACGAGGTCACTCAACTAACTATTACTGGAGAGTGGTCAACCCCAAAAATTAACGAGGTAATATGTCTCCATGATACGTTTTGTTTGTCAATATTTTGAAACTAATGTGGATACGGGATGCCTGGTTTTCTGGAGGGATCTTTTCTTTGTGTAAATTTGAGATTTTCGGGTGAGTGATGATGGAGTTATAATGCTCTTGTTACATGCAGGGAATGCAGCTTTGCCTGGATGCATGTGGTAAGCTGGGAGAGATCATGAGGGCATGCCTGAAAGATTCAGCTTCCGCTTCTTCTTGATGAAGAAACCGTTTTATTAGAAAAAATAGATTTTAATATGATAATTAGAGATTACATATCCTAGATTATTTGGTCTTTTGAGAACTTAACATGGGATCAACCATAATTTTGTGCTCTGTATATTTTTATTTTTATTTTTGTATCTAAATGGTTGGTTTCTTCAATTATTTCCATTTCATGGTGCATTTGAAGGAAGTTTGTACCTAAATTGTTGATTACTTTTCAACCCTTTTCGTTTTAAGATTCTGATTATAAATTCACAGTGGTGATTTACTAAGTTAATGAGGAGGAAGGGGTGAGCAGTAGTCTGGAATTGGATCAAACCAGACTGGATCAAGGTGGGTTTTCAGATTGAAGATTGGATCATTTTAATTCCAGTTCAAATTGAACTGGATTACTATGGTTTGGTTCAGTTTACTTAGAATTGAAATGGACTGAATACTTTTTTCATGTACTGGTTAAAAAATTTATAAAAGATAATATTAAAATTAAAAATTAAAAATTAGTTTTTTTTTTTTTTTTTTTTTTTGTACTTCTGGTTCAATCTGGTTTATTTTGGTTTACCTAGGCCAAGAATGGACCAACTATTAAATCTTCGACGGAAAATACATTTCACATGTTTCTAGCGATTCACATGGCATCATCAAATAATACAAGTCTTGAATATAAATTTATAACGCACTAAAACGCTCTTGATGACGATTCTTTATTCCGACAGCATCTAAGGGTTTTTGAACAATGTGATATCTCGTAACAAGTAAATTTACAACGCACTTCTTCCTCTTACTAAAACTACATAATGTTCTTGTAAATTATGATTACGAGAAATCTCTAAGTACAGAAGGTTATTTGTCAAGCATTATAAATATAATCAATTATATAGCAACTAGCATTTGCTGTTTTGCATCCATCACACTTCACCTCAGTTCACACACTACACTACTAAATTAAAATAATTTTGCCCAAAAAACTTAATTTAAAATATTTGCTATTTTAAAAAAAAAAAAATAGGGAGGCAAAAAGATGGAAGCATTTATTACTGGGAGCGCGTGGGGCACGCAAAGCACGTGAAATAAGAGGCCCAGATCACGTGGGCCCCAATAAAGTGGGCCATACGTTAGGCAGGATCAAGCGGTGTGTTGGCGAATCGGGTTACGGAAAACATCCAACGAATGGAGATGATTAAATGCCACTGTCTTATGCTTGTTAAACTATCTGATCAGTTAGTGAGCTGGCTCCAGTCTAGCCAATTAATTGCTGCCACCTGTCAGATAATTTTCTTTCACAATCAAATCCTATAGGGATTTTGACTTGTTTATTTTCTCATCACTTAGAATTTAAATTATTAATTATTTCAATAATTAAATCATATCAAATTTAATGGTCGGGTGATTGATTATTTTCAATTGCCTCCGTCGAGTAATTTATAATAATTTTTTTATAAAAAAAATAGATGAATTTTACGGAATAATTTATATTTTGAATAAATGTATAAAAGATTAAAATTAACAAATAATAATAATAATAATAATAATAATAAACGGATAGTAATAATAATCAAAAATTCTTTTGAATTATGTTAAAATTATAAAAATTCGTACCAATATTTTTTATAAAGTTAATTAATTATCTGATTGTTATAAATATTTTTAACGAGACTTTTACTAATAGCATGACTAAAAAAATTAAGAATAGCGTTATCTGTGTTATCATAAATATTTTAGATAAATACCTACTAGTTGCTCTCCGCAAATTTCTAATTACCATATTTGTTTTAGAAATTCCATGAACTTTGATTAGTAACTAATGATAATTTTTTTAATTAAATGTAATTAATGATAATTAATTAAGAACCCGAGGCCTTAATTAGATCAAGCTGGTACAATATGAACTCTGGCCGACATCTAGTTGGTTTGTCGGCTTAGATTCAAACCAGCTTAAATACATCGTGAAGTAATTTATTTTTTCCGACTTAAGTTTTGTTTGGCAAATTTGTTGGTTTTTTTTTTATAAATTAATTTTTTGTCAATTAATTTCTATTGCCTTGTATTTATTTATTTATTAAAATTTAAAAACTTGAAAATAGTAAATTTATTTTAGGAAAGCAACAAGCAACCACGTAGTCCCTTTCCTAAAATAGTAAAATTTACTTCCAATGGAAGCAAAGTATACTCACGTTATGTTATTAAAAAGAAATCAAATACATGTATTAAAATATTTTTTAATCAAAATATATATATTTTATTAATTATATTACTTAAACAAGTTAATTATAATACAATATCATAATAAATATATATAACATAATTTGATCTAAATTATTTTAAAAAATATTAAACATTAAATAAAAATATCAATTTATCAACTTCTTTTTTTGTTCTAAATGAAAAGAATCGCAAAATAACATAGAAATAAAATACTTAAAGTAATACATATTTTTATTTTTGGTACGATAAAGGTATTGATTGTATGAACTGATTAAGGATTGTTAGTCAAGGTCATAGGCCGGATGGGAATTTCTTGACTTTATCTTCAAAGCCAAACAAAATAAGGCACAAGTCAAAAATCAAACCAATTATATGCATATAATATATAGTATATAATATATAATATATAGACGGTGGTTGGCTAATTCTTCTTTTGCTTTTGCTTTTTCCTTATTATCTTATAATATATTATATAATTAGGAAAAGTTGCATTCAATAATATCATAATCAACTACTCATGTTATTTCTCAAAAAAAAAAAAAAAACTATTCATATTTAATTTTTAAAAAATATTCTTTTGGGATATACAAATATTTATAGTGTCACCATGAAATTTAAGTCATATAAAAAATTTGTTCAAAGATAAAATAGTTATTCCGAATTTTTATTTTATTTTGCATGAATATATCATAATTCATTTGAAGTATATTCAATTCGAATATCTTAATTCATCAATACATTAATAAATTTAAATATTTAATTTTATTAAATTAGTTAGTCATTTTCAATTAATAATATATTAAAAAAATAATGTTACATATATTTTTAATAAAATTTAATTTAAATAAAACTAAAAACTTTTAAGTATTGTATTTTTATGTTGTCATTATAATAATTTAATTTTAATAAGGAAGAAAATCAATTCATAATTAATTAAAAAGAATGTTGATGGCTAGCTGTTTTATGTTAAGTAAATTTTCTAATTGGTAACAGCTGTCTTATATTAGGCTGAAAGGAGTCACCCTGCCAATTAGTCAAATTAATTACCAATTAATTAATTTTCCGACATTATTTTCTTGAGTTTTAGTACACTACTAATTAAGCATTAAATTATTTAAATATATAAATTGAAAATACAGATAAAATTTAATTAATTATATATTAAATGTATGAATAGCAATTAAATTTTAACCAAATACAAAATCATTTTCTATACGTACTTATCGTACAAAATAAACATTTACTTTATTAATTTGATTTACTTGGATGACGTGGATAATACTTTCTTTAATGATAATTAAAATAAAATAGAAAAATCGTAAAAAAGTGAAGGTGAAATTAAAAAAAAAAAAGAATATTTTATTTAATTATGAATTATTATTAACCATAATGTGTTTGTGTACAAAGTAATAATAATAAATAATTTTGTCCACAAAAAGATAATAATAAATACGATATTAATATTATTTATTAGACGAAATTCATTAATTTCATAATTAATTACAAAGTTTACTGAAAAATTCACAAATAAATGATTTAATTTAATTTGTGTTATAATAAATAATATTCTGTTAAATTTAAAATTTATCGTTAGAAAATATAAATTAATATAATTAATTTTATTAACATAAAAAATGTGTTTTTGTATGTTAATATTAAATTTAAGAAAGTAAAAAATTAATATTAGTTGAGTATTAAATAAATTAATGATATATGCATAATAAAATTATAATTTAGTCGTTTTTATAAAAAAAAAAACTATTTATTTATTTATATATAGTTAACACTTTATTTAAATACATAATTAATAAAAATTTAAATATAAAAAAAATTAAGTTGAAGTTGAAACCCACCGTGCACCAGTGGAGCAACACGTGGCGAGATTCCGCAGCTTCCATATCTGCCGTTAGTCAACTCCTCGGATCTTTACAAAAAAAACACTAAACTGAACTAAAATACATTAATTAAGTTTCTAATTAAATTATTACTGTACGGTATCGTCTTCTCCATCTTCTTCTCTGTTCTTTTTCCCTTTGCTGGTCTCCTTTTGTCCCCTTATCTCTCTCTCTCTCTCCGTCTTCTTTATTGTTTTAAAGTAAATAAATATAAATATTCCCAACAGGGTAGTCTTTATTTTTTTAATATATTTTTTCTTCTTCTTCATCTTCTTCTTTTAGCTTCCTTAACAGAGACTCTTTGCTGTTATTTTCTGAAAGTTTGGGCCCTGTAAGCTACTGTGTGATATATAGTTTGTATATGAATGTGTTTGTGGATAAATACAAAGCAATAGAGAAGCCCTTTATTTCGTAACAAAGGGGGTGTCTCCTTTCGTCTTCTTCCTGAATTCTGTATCTATCAATGGAGGCCATCTATGGCAGAACCAGTTGCAGGCTGTTCCTTTCCGGATTCTGTGATTATGTTTTCTGTTGATTGGGCTTTCTGGGTTTTGTTTTTTATTCACTAAAACCCATTGGGAAGTTCTGAAAAAGAGAAAAAAATAATAATAATAAAGCAGACGAGCAGTTATCAAGTATTCCATGGTTGACGGAATTGGGTTATGTGATTCGACATCGTTTTAGTTTTGACAGAGAAGAAATGGACTGTGAGCTTTCTCTCTTTCTCTCTCTCTCTCTCACTGTTTCTCTTTTTTTTTTTGGAATTTTTCCATTTCCTTGAGAGATCATTAGCATTGCATTGTTTTTCAAAAGGTCAAAGTCAGATTCAAATTCTTGTTTAATCAGATAGACTGATTCTTTAGAATGGTATTCAGTACTGAGTTCAAATATTCAACTCACCGGTCATTATAAGCTAATAAAAATTTCGGCTTTTGGGTTTTTGTTTTTCTTTTGAGTAAATCCAGGATCGGGTTCTTCATTTTTGGTAATTTCAGATTATGGGTCTACTTTGAATTTGATCTTATTATACATTATTCTAAATATAATGATTTTGATATGCTCTCAAAAATATTTATTGACCATTTCAAGGAGAAAAATTATATATACTTCCCTTATATGCATGACGAAATTAAATATCCAAGATTTCAGTTGAGTAAAGTATTGCTAAAAGAAATTTAGGTAACATGTTTGACGCACTCTTTTGGACTAAAAACAGATCACAGTGGACTCTGAGGAGCTTCACATTCAAGTTGAGTTGTCTTTTTTATCATTTATTCACATGATTCCTCCTGCTAAAATAAGTGATCTGTACCCTTTATTGTTCTTGTGGCTTCAAGCTTTTACCCGGTCAGTGTCTGTTTGATTCATGGCTGAAAATCTTAAAAAAGTTACAATCTTGGCTTGATTTATATACAAATTTTATCTTTTTTTGGATACCCAGATCAAATCCAGTGACTGAAACCAGACTCGTACATTCCAAATAGCGCCATGGGTTATGGTAATTCAAGATCTGTAAGGTCAGTCTCTCTTTTCCAGTTCTTCAATTTGTTATAGTTTAATTTTGATGAACAGCTTCTAAATGGTTGTATTTGTATTTGGATTCAAAATTTTAGATTTCAAGATGATCTCGAAATGGCAAAGCTGCCTGCAATCAACGGTGATGGTCTGATTAAGTTTAAATACACCATTGACGGAACTCAAATACCCAGTTCGAGTACTAATAAGAAAGCTGACAAGGAGATACCTGCAAGGCCTGCAAAATTCTTGAAAGCCAAAGTACTGTCCAGAGTGTTTTCTGAGGATTTCGAGAGAGTGAAGAAGAAAATTTTGGATCCAAGAGGACCGACAATTAGTCGATGGAACAAGATTTTCTTAGTAGTATGCTTAGTTTCTTTGTTTCTGGATCCTCTCTTCTTTTACTTGCCGGTTGTCCGGGCTGAATCCTGCATTGACATTGGAATAAAACATGAAGTCATCCTCACAATAATTAGATCAATTGCTGATGTTTTTTACATGATTCAAATGTTCATTCGGTTTCGAACAGCTTATATTGCTCCTCCTTCTCGTGTGTTTGGGAGAGGAGAGCTCGTAATAGACTCTTCGAAGATTGCATTCAGGTACCTTCGGAGGTGTTTCTGGATTGACCTCGTTTCTGCCCTGCCTCTCCCTCAGGTAAAAACACTGTCAATTCAATGTCTTTTAATTTTTTTTTTTTTTAAAAAATGGAGTACTAAGGAATTGATTCATAATGTTGTACATTTCAGGTTTTGATTTGGATTATAATCCCGAATCTCAGAGGTTCAACGATGACAAACACGAAGAACGTGCTTCGATTCATAATAATTTTCCAATATCTCCCCAGACTCTTCATTATTTTCCCACTTATACAGCAGATCATTAAGACCACTGGCATTGTTACAGAAACAGCCTGGGCTGGAGCTGCTTACAACCTCATGCTCTATATGTTGGCAAGCCATGTAAGCACCAAACTAAACCTATTCCTATTCTATGAAAGTGAAAGTTGAAGCAAACCTAATGTTAGTACTATGATCTTATAGTGGAATTTGATAGCCATGAAATTATTTTCAATCTTTGATTTGTTTTTTCATGCAATCCTTCCGGGTAGTTGACTTATATAAACTCATGTTTTGTTTTGTTGGAAAGGTTTTAGGAGCTTGCTGGTATTTGCTCTCAATTGAGAGACAAGAAGCATGTTGGAAAAGTGCTTGCAATCTCGAGAAGCAATCTTGTCAATATGGATATTTTGATTGCCATAAAGTTGCAGACCCTTGGAGGATTTCGTGGTTCAAGACAAGCAATATCTCTAGTCTTTGTAAACCAGATGGGAACTTCTATCAATTTGGCATATATGGTGATGCACTAACATCTGGTGTCACAAGCTCTCCTTTCTTTAACAAGTACTTTTACTGCCTTTGGTGGGGCTTAAAGAATCTCAGGTAAGCTCACTTCGGCCAAAAGATTAGCTTATTCTGTAAATATAAATCTCGGGAGACAATGAATTTGAGTTGTAGACTTTGTGTCCATTCCATCATCTACTATTGCTAGTTCAGCTTTGAACAATTTAAGTTCTAATGTTGATGTTTCTACCCATGTTACTAGTTCTCTGGGACAAAATTTTGACACTAGCACTTATGTTGGAGAAATCATCTTCGCTATCATTGTTGCGACTCTTGGATTAGTGCTCTTTGCATTGCTTATTGGAAATATGCAAGTAAGTCTCTGAAAATGGTACCTCGAAACCTTTTTCTACCAGTTCTTTCTTCTACCATATTGTGTGATGCCTTATCTCATACTCTAATAATATCTCGAGGAAAAATAATGCTTGTATTATAATTATAGTTTGATCAATGTGATCAAGGGCTATTCTCTCCAAAGTGGGATTGACAAGTATGGAATCCTAATAATATGTTTTAATCTCAGACGTATCTTCAATCCACAACAGTGAGACTAGAAGAATGGAGAATCAAGAGAACTGATACAGAACAATGGATGCGCCATAGACAGCTTCCTTCGGAGCTAAGACAGTCTGTTCGAAGATACGATCAATACAAATGGGTCGCAACCCGAGGAGTCGATGAAGAAGCTCTTCTCAAAGGTCTTCCAATGGATCTTCGAAGAGACATCAAGCGCCATCTCTGCCTTGATCTCGTTCGAAGAGTAAGTCCAAACTGTAGTCTTAAACAATATTCAAGTCCTGACAACTTGGTTTCATACAAGATTTTCTTAGAAATCAAAACTTGTACAGAAAGTAAAGACTATGATTTATTATCTATACATTAAGAAATACTAAATTGAAGATTCAAACAGGTTCCATTGTTTGATCAAATGGATGAAAGAATGCTGGATGCAATCTGTGAAAGACTTAAACCAGCATTATGTACTGAAGGCACATTCTTGGTTCGAGAAGGTGATCCTGTAAACGAAATGCTGTTCATAATCCGAGGCCATCTTGATTCCACGACGACGAACGGCGGCCGGACTGGATTCTTCAACTCCTGCCGGATTGGTCCAGGTGATTTCTGTGGGGAAGAACTGCTGACATGGGCGCTGGATCCTCGTCCAAGTTTCATCCTTCCTTCGTCAACTCGCACAGTGAAAGCCGTATCAGAAGTTGAAGCTTTTGCTCTAAGAGCAGAAGACTTGAAATTTGTAGCATCCCAGTTCAGAAGATTACACAGTAAACAGCTGAGGAACAAGTTTAGATTCTATTCTCATCAATGGCGGACATGGGCTGCTTGTTTTATTCAAGCAGCTTGGAGGAGGTACAAGAAGAGGAAGGAGTTGGCTGAGCTGAGAGCTAAAGAGAAGCCCATGGATGATAATTATGATGATGGTGATCATGATGATCATCATCGTAATGGCGACGATGATGATCATGAGAAAGAGTCAAAGTCAAACTTAGCTGTGTATGCAGCGAGAGTTGCAGCCAGCAGAAGAAGAAGTATTGATTCTGGTGTTGCTGTTAGCTCAGTACAGAAGCCTGAAGAGCTTGATTTTTCTGTATATGAGGAATGACTTCCTAAATTTAATTACCCTATAAATAATCCACGTCTTGTCTCATATTTTTTATCTTAGTGTTTCAGAGATCTATATATACATATATATATATATATATATATTCAGTGTCTGGGTGATTAGTAAAAGTTGACCTGATAAATATAGAATTTTGGGATATTTGTATTTTACTAATTAATTATTATTCATTTATTATTTATTTATGTTGTTAATAATTTATATAATCATCTAATTAAATTAAATATTAATTTGTTAATAAATGTTAGGCAAATTATATATTTATTCTAAAAATAATATTAAAAAAAAAAACTTAAATAAATTCAAAGCCCAATCCACTCTCTGTTTTGGGCCAGAACTTAATTTTCTCAAAAGCCCATTTTCTGATAATATAATAAAATTGATTTTATTTTTCGCTAATTGATAAAATAATTAAAATTAATTTAATGGATTTTTTAATTGTTAATCTCAAATTACAGGCCCATTTACTAATAACAAAATAATCAAAGAAGTTTTATTTTTATTTGGGCCGGGATTTATTTGGTCATTTGGTGTCAGAGAAATATTATATGTCTGTATTTTAAACCAATTTTTTTTTCCAAATTATTAATTTTAAATTATTATTATTACTATTGTTTGTAACAGTCCGAAATTAGAAAGAAAATAAATTATAAATTAAATGCGAAAGCGAAATAATAGCATTAGCATTAGCATTTACATTTCTTACACAATAATTCAGAATACCCAATAGGATTACGGGAATGACTATTCTAAAAAAACAACGAAAAATCAAAAAAATAAATAGAAAGTAAACAACCGCACATCCTATTCGTAACTATTTTCTGGATCAGGATCTGAATTTTGATTTTCTTGATATGAAATGGTTAATGAAAAAGTGAACTACATTAACCCAGTAAGAATATTACGCTATTTACCAATATAGAGATGAAAGTTGGTAAAAATCATAAAAATAACTAATGGAGCTCTTAATTTAAGTAAATTCATTTATCATAAATAAAATTATTTATTGTACACTTACCGTAGTGAAATTTCCAAAACTTACCTATAGAGTCAATAACACGACAATATCATAATTTCATATTCAATTAAGTAAGAATAACAACTTTCGCTTTTTATATGCCTACTGGTATCCGTTAAGATCTATAGGGATGTTTCCACTACGCGTGAACCTTTATTCAATATTTTTAACTAACTGGCTGTCCACATATCTCGTCCAGTATGAGTGCAAAAAATATCATCCCTCAATACCCCGTTCGGTATAAAGGTAAAATGGGTCGTCCTCATACCCCGTCTGGTATGAGCACCAAAATATCAATTCTCGATACCCCGTCC